ACTTTAAGAAAAAATGTTCATCTTATAATACACCGGAAATTCATTCATATAAGCAATGTTGATTTTTAATATTTTACTAAGATGAGTTTGGAGATGCGTTTTGAAAAGTGGTTTTAAATGAAAGATTTACTTCTCAAAAAATTTGAAAGAAAACTAATTATCTATTTCAAAAATTACTTTTGATAATCGAAAATTTTTAAAAGTATTTGAAAGTGCTTTAAATTCTTCTCCTTTAATTATCCTGTTCTTCAAGGTTTCCTTCTTCCCCAATTAACCACCATTAAATTGGTGGTTGGTTTGGTTGCAGACGAAGGAGATGGATATCGCACTTTGTCAACAAGCACAATTAATTACTAACTTAATTAACATCCACACTATCTTTTTATTAGTCAATTACCGACAAAATAGATACCTACTTCCAACTTTAGAGATCAAAATATATTTTATTCAAAATTTAACTAAATCTTACTTCATAAAAAAAATAATAAATAAAAATCTTTTGAGCCCTCCACCATAGATACTACTGACTCAGTAAATACTGAAATCGAATTTAATATAATTAAAATAATTTTATATTAAATCTTTAGTGATCCTTGACGTTTTAGTTTTACCGTCAAATCGAACTTAACTTTACAGTAATTGACATATATCTCTCTAATCAAGAGATCGATCTCTCATCCACACGTTGTATTAAAAAAAAAATTAATTTTATCACCTCAAATATTCAATAGACTATATATTTAGACATTATTTTCTAATATTTATAACATTTAAACAACTTTTATTTGATACATTTTATCAATTAGATTAAATATAGAAATACTAAACTTGTTTCTCAATATTTATTGATGCATTTTAATCTTTTTTTTTCTTTTATTTTTTATTTTTTGAGTTTTATTGATATGTCATTCAAATTTGGTGAATGAATTAGTTTATAATCAAATCTACCCAACGTATTAAGCGACTTAAAATTATTGAAAGAAAAACTTTAACAGAGAAATAAATAAATATTCCATTCCAAAAGCCATTTTTTTTGGCTGATGACGTTTGACACAACTTAATTATTGAATAGTTCAATCCACCCATATATAAAAATTTGTTTTTGCCAACTTGAACATAGCTATTGAAGGTACTTAATTCAAATCTCTACCCCACATTTACTAAAAAAAATATTTTAAAAAGTTTTTTTGAAAATAACTATGGCAAATAAAAGAATAAAATATTGACCTAGTAAGTCGATATTTTATTAATATAAACGATTTAATATTGAAATTAAGAACCAATTTAAATATACCACAATTGGTTAATGGATAAATTCTCAATCAGAAGACTATAGGTTCGAATCTCTATCCCACGTATCATCTACTTGACACATAAAATTTTTAACTCGTGCTAGTTAAAATGTCAATATATAGGTTAATATTAATTATAGTCCAAGAGACTAATTTGACTCTAACTTAATTAGTTAAGATAGAATCGTGGATCAAAAGATTTCGAATTCTCATTCTCACCCTACATGATGTAGTACTATTAATAAAAAATAAAAATAAAAAGACAGGAAGTGAATAAATACTCCCCAACCTATCATCCCGGACAATTTCTCTCCTATAAAGAAAAACACGAAATCTCACGAATTCAAATGAAGTTCAGCTCAATTCCAGCTTGAATTTGGTTCTTCTTAAGGTATTTTGCCGAGCATGATATGGTATAAGCTCCAAATTCTTCCAAGACAAGGAAAACGTCATCCTTACATATTATATGTCAGTTAAAAACAGTGAATCCTCGTCCTCTCCATCTAAGAATTGCATAACCAAAACAAGTTGTTCGGCGTACTGTGGAGCTTCCAAGAACACAACTTTCAAACAATGAAAGCATGGGAACCCCATTACTGATACTGACAGTACAAAAAAAGTAACTAAAGGGAGAGGAGGAAAAAGAAATGTACCTACAAAATCTAGTGTTTATGGCAAAGTTCATCAAAGCCAAAATAGCTGAGACCAATGCATCATTAGTTCAAAAGGGTATGTAATGTTAGGCAACGACAACTTTAATATTTGGTACACGCCATGACTGAACCCTGTCAAGCTTTTTTTTTTTTTTTTTTCCCTTCTCATTAGATTCTTTGAATGTACAATGGCTTTCAAAAAGATGACCAGCCCAAAGCCAGACCCAATTTTCTTTTCATGGAAAATATGAAAAGCAAAAGAGAGAAATTAAAAATCTTGCCCCTTTGATTGAATTTTTTTTTTTTCCTTTTCTTGTGGGTTTAATCTGTATGTGAACCACGGAGAAGTAGATGAAGAGAGAGAGAGAAAGAGAAAGAACGAGAGAAGACAGGTTCTGCTCCACCATTTTGCAGACCTTGAGGATGCAGATGCAGCTGCCTACAGATATCCACTGGCTGTGGCTGTGGCCTTTCATTTTGGGGTACCCCCTTTGGCCTTTATTATTTATAAGCTTCTTCCACTTTTCTCAACTGACCCAAGACTCACCCCTTTAAGAAAGTTCATGTTCAGGGCTAGTGGTCCTAAAACATATCCTTAATGCTTCAACTGCACATTATAAATCAACCCTCAACCTAAGTTGTGTTCATATTTTTTTATGACTCGGAATCGATACCTCTTTAGCATTTTATCCCTATAACTGAGGTACTCGCTCCTTTTTGAGGCCTGAATTCAAAAGACATTAAGCTCACCCAAAATTTTGAACACAACCCCTAGAACTAAAGTTATGTTTATATTTATTTTGGTGCCTCAATATATTTATTTCGAGACATGCTATAACATTTGGTGCTAGAAACACAGTAATTAATTAATAAGATAGGTGACCATTATCATGAGATTTGAACTAATTTCCTCTCAGTTCATCCTAATCTCTTTGGATTGATGAGTCACCCATGATGTTTCTTCATTAATAAAGGTTAAAACGGGTTAATGATAATTAAGCTTAATTACATACCATGATATTTAGTAGTTTGACAAAATTTTAGATATAAGAAATTAGCTAGACTTACCTAAGAGAAAATAGAATCTTTCTTCTCCTAACAAGCCTAATTCCTCATCTAAATCTCTCCTTTATAGTACCATGTAACACAAGTTTATTATCAACCAATTTTAATAGATTCAGTCGAGTATAATGGTAAAATGTTAAAACATAATAGCCTATGATCTGCAGCCCATAGTATAGCTTTGACGCTCACTTGTTTGAGTTAGAAGAGAGATATGAATGAGATATTAAAGAACAAAGTTCTCCGACGCATCAGAAGCAGGTTGAAGTGAAAGTAAAAGCATAGGGACTTTATTTGTGGCACACAGCCTTATAATTGTTGATAGGAGTTTGAATTTGGGGGGTTTCTATATATATTTCAATAATGTATTCTGTGGAGTTCTACTTTTATAGTGGAGTTCTACTTTTATAAACTGTGTCAAACTGTCCTTATGCATTGCAAACTGCAAAGTCTTTGCCTTCATTGCTTCTAACCTATAACATACATCTGAAATTGGGACATTTCTTTTCATACCCCCCCAAAGAAAAGTGGTTTCTTCTTCTTCTTTTTTTTCCTTTTTCTTTAAGCTTTGAAGAGATTTTGATGAATAGTGTGTTCTACACTCTTTACACCCTTTCAACCATTCCAAAAGTTTGAATGTGACAGTCTGCTTTATGCTTAAAGGAATTGGGTTAATGATTTCCAGACGATGAGCCAACCAAAGATTGTGTGAGTTATTCTATCTCGAAGGTGCTCAAACACATCTCAACTAGGTTTTTCTAAGAGAGAGAATTGCATCTTTACTTATTTACAATATTTGACACGAAAAAAATAAATCATGGAATGATTTATATTGTGATCATCGAGATTAAAGAAAAACAAAAGGGTTTAGAGGACAGAATGAGTTAAATTGTGGCCCTTATTTAGGATTTAATACTAAGGAAAAATTATAAGAACCAAACACGTCGAAATTAATTTTTAAAGTAGGTGGCCATCATGAGATGAATATTTTTAAATTTAATTACACATCCTAGCTTTGAGCGTTCAATTTGATCCTTCACCCTCTAAACATTGAAACAATCGAAAGCTGTAAAATCTTTCGAGGTTTTTAGATTGATGGTGAGTCGAAATCTTGATTTAAGAAAACAACAAATAATTGAGGTAGAAAATTAGTTTTAATTGTACAGTTTTACAAGTTTAAGGGGGTGATTAATCGAATATGATTATAATATAACATCTCTTAGAACTTGGGGGAGGTATTTTCAACTTCCCCTTAGAATCAAAAGCAACGGAGTTGTTTTAAGATGCACCAAAATGCAGCATATAGCTATCCACAATAATGTGGTACCTCAATGACCAATTTGAAAGAGAAATACCAACCACTGCAATTCATTCACTGTTTCAATAATCGGCCCTGTATTTTCAAATAATTCTCTTTGAATATTAATTCCTTTGTGCATTTCAACTATGCATTCTAATAGTCTTCCATCTATTCAAATAATTTCAACTTCCCGTTTTTTCTCATTTCGTTCACTCCTTTTCTCACTTTCACTTTTATCTTTCTTGTTTAGCAGATTTGTTACTCTTTGAATTCAAACCTGTCATTTAATGTTTTTGCTCATAAATTTGAATTTTGAAACCTATAAGCCCAGATACCAAAGACCTCAAATTTTATAAATTAGTCAAAACTAACACCCTTGAAGTTGGGAACAAGCATGACTCGATTCCACAAATCTCAATCTGAAAAATTGTTTCTTAAGAGAAATACCTTAAAAAGATTTTATCTTTCAAAAGCAAAAGCATCTTAATGCTATATTTTAACTTTCAAAAAAAAAAAAAAGGTTCCTCCACGATCCACTTAGTTTCTGGCTTATTTGCCACGTTACGTAGTGGGGTTAGAATCTGATAACAATCTTGAATTTCCATCTGTTCAATTGGACCCAAAAAAAAAAAAAAAGAAGTTCATCTTTCCTGATGGCCGTCGCTACAGAATTCAATCGGATTTCATGTCTGATCAAAGAAGAATGGTGAAGAATGCTTGTTCATCTACGATCAAGTTAATAAAAACAGTGTCTAATTCTTTACACAGACTGGAGTAAACGTTACTCGAAACGAAAAGGAAACCAGAATCGAAAGGGATCAAACTCCATTATTGTGGAAACCAAAGTCGCTAAACTTTCCAGCAAACCAAACAAAGAGCTACCCAATCCCTTCAAATAAACCCAACCAAATAAACAGGGACAAAAGAAGAACCAAGAAGACGAAGAAGAGCAAACCCATTAAATTTTTTACCAATTCGACGCTGAATTCCTACTCAGAACCTTTCGACCTTGTCGGCCTTCACTACGGGGTTGGCCATGGCGATCTCCTCCCGACCAATACTTTTGAAGTCGTAACCACAATCGTGCTTCTCCGGGTACCGGTGAGTTCCACAGAAGGTCCGCCCGCACTTGCACTTGAACCCCATCAATCCCACCTTCTTATTGCAGCTCAAGCACCGATTTGGAATCTCCGGCGACGGCGATTTGTTGGAACTGCCGAGAGATATTCCGGAGGAGGACGACGGTGATGCTAAATCGAGTAGAGAATCGGCGACGACGACTGAAGAATTGCCTTCGGACGGCTTCAATATTTTGGACTGAAGGGATTTCTCCATGGCTACTTTGGCCGAAGCCGCCTGCTCTTCTTTTATACGCGAGTCTCTGTAGCACTTCGAGCAGAGATTCTCCGTTCCCGCTGAACCAAAGAAACCGCAGTTGTTCGCGCAGAGCTTCGGCTCCGTTGGCTGGTAGCTTGTGCCATCGTTCTGTTCCGAACCCATACTTCTTCGAACGTAATCGCTCAATTCGCTGTAGTTTCAGGAAAAGGCACAAAAAAAAAAAGAAGAATAAAACAAGATGTTAGAATTAAAAACGAACTCATCCGTGATCAAATTTCGCGTTTCATCTTCTTGCTTGAAACCCTAAAATTACCAGGAAAACAATAACAAAAGCCCCAACTAATAAAGCAATATTTCCTGGAAAAGTAACGACTAGACCAAGACTTTCAAGAAATCAGCGGTGAAATCATCGAAACGAACAGTAAATAGCAGCGAAAGAAGACAAAAACATCAAACGCAACAAAACGCAAAACGTTCATCTATGGCAGTAATCGAAGTAGACGAAAGAACAAGAAAAGAAATTCAGAACCAAAGTAAAGTTCGAAAAGAAAAAATTCATCCTCGTCCCAACAAAACGATCTAGATTATTCCGATTCAGTAAAAGTCAAACAGAGTCTGAAATCCATACCTCTTAAGCCAACAGAAGATCGAAGCAACTCAAAACTCCAAAAAACCTCCCCAAAAGAAGCGAATTCGAATCGGAGAATCAGAATATTATCAAAGATTCAGAAAACCCACGGGGTGAAGAAAAAGTAAGAAAACGAATAAACGTAGAGAAACCGATTACGTTGAGGTTTAGGGGCTGACGGAGCGATAAAGATGAATTACTAATTGCGCAACCCACCCCTTGTTTATTGTTATTTCCACGGCGCTCCCCCCGGTTTCAATGTCGGTGCAATGCTACAATACGGCGCCGGTCCATTGCACCTCGATTTTCAGCCGTTTGATCACATGCCCGATCTGATCACGAGATCATCCCCCAAAATCAGACGGCTGGGATGCTTGAATCCGTGATGATTGTTTTCCTTTAAGAATCTTTCGTGATGATTGCTTGTCGATTACGAAAGGGCCTTTTAGTAATTTAGCGTCTTCCATTAAAAAGGCGATTTTTTTTTGGAAACCGAATTAAATATCAATATTAGAAGATTATAATATTCCTTACTCTACTTTACCTTTTTTTTTCCTCTCATACTTCACCTTTTTTTGTTTTTTTTTTTCTTCAATCGCTAAAGCAGTTTTTCATTTTCATCTTCCTATCTATTTTTAACTTTTAAAGTTTCGTTTTCTTAAATTACTATCAAAGACTATTTTCAATTTCCGTTTGGTGTTATTATCTATTTTTAAAAAATAATTTCAAAAAGTGTGCAATTTCTTTTGGCGGTAGTCATGGTCCACCATAATGGAATTTTCTCTAATTGATTCGACTGTCTCCTTCCATCTCGTTATATATAATAATATTTATTTTTAAAAAATAATTAGTTTGTCACACGATTTATTCATAACTGAAACGTGTCGCCATTTTAGGGGCTACCGGCAATCTTTTTGCAAATAACCTCCCACAATCGATTACTTCGTCCATGCGCCTATTCCCGAGGAGTCCAGCGGCGACCCGGTCCGGTCCGAATATTTAAGTAATTAAACCGGTTGGTTCTGGGTCCCACGTTTTGCGCGGAAGGTCTTTGCTTTATCCAACCTATAGCAGTTAAAATGGCTCTAAAATTGCGGCACAAGTTTTTATTGCTATTATTGTTATTTTAGAAGAAATCTGTTCCCATGCGGCTAATCTCATGCTCGTGAAGATGAACCCTACAATATCAGCCATTGATGCGTGGGTCCGTTCTTGTAAGGGGTCAGGATTTGGGCATTTGAGAGGAGTTCGTCTGTAATTCTAAGATTAGTGTATATTAGCGTTACTGTTATTGGGCCGGTTAAAAATCGTGGGCCCACGATGCGTCATCGCGTTCTGAGGACGTTAGGTTCGACGGCGACGCTTAGGGTTTGGTTAAGAACGGGCGGCCCTTCAAGGTCTTACCGTGAACCCGCCTTACTCGCCGCTTGATCAGAATATTGATTCTCAGACGTTGGATTATAAGATTTTTAGAGGCTTTTGTTTTTTAGAACGATTTTTTTGTTCTATTTTAACCTTTTTGTTTCCAATTTTGGTTGGAATATCTCCTTGTATTTTAAGATTATGTCCATTTTAGTTTTTGTAATTTTGAATGATGTAGTTTGGTCGGTGCATTTAAGATAATTAGAACCATACATTTTTAGTTTTACTAATTTACACAATTAACCTATTCAAAATTCAATTAATAATTAGAATTGTTACATATAAATGATTTAACCATTAAAGTATCTATGTTCATGTTTGCAGTTGGGACATTATTTTTTCTCAAAAATTGTAACTTTGAATCTCCCCCAAAATTAGATGATATGTGTTTTTTTTAAGTGAATTAGGAATTAATGTTTATTGAAAGATTAATTACTAAATCTTTTTAGATATTTTAATGTATTTTGTAGTTTTACTACATTTGATTAGTTTTGATGATTTTTATCAAAAATTGAATATATAAGGATTTTTATAAAAATTAATACACTTTTGTCATTATCTCAAGAAACAATACAGGTCATACACTTCCCTTTTATGGTATGGCTGGTAGCTTAGGATAGGTAAGGATTTCAAATCTTGACCAATTACAAATGAATTTCGTGGTTTGTTATCAGAATGATTTGAAATCTTACGTAATTTTAAATTGTGTTTCCACTTAAAAGTAAATTTTGAAATTTATCCCAATTTTAGAACTAGATTTTGAAATATATATTATTCTTATTTAAAAGAATGTGTAAAGTGAGGGTTTATATCCCCGAAGGTTAACATATGAACTATGCTCAAATTGCTGAAAAATATATTTTCAAACCTTATTAACCTATGTGGAGACATTTCCATGAGTTGAACTGGGCCTAGAGAGGGATGGGTAGCCCAAACACACACAAAATCAATTTTTGAATTTAAAAAGGTTATCAATTTTATCGAATAGTACCTCAAGTAATGATGATTGTTTTTAAAAAATGGTAGAAAATTTTGTAATATTTATCAAGGTAAGAAAGCGAATTAATATTTTAAAGTAGATAGTCCCAAGTTTTAAATATCAATATTGATAAAAATATCGAATTCTCAAGGACGTGTGTACGAAAATATTAATAAAATGTTGATGTAAATAGATATGTCTTAAAAATTATAAAATTAAGACATTCCTAAAAACTATTTAAATTAACAAATAAACATTTCATCATTTTTAAATAAGTTAAAAATAATTAGTGTTAATATTATGTCTATATTAATAAAATTTTATTGATATTTTTTATATTTTGTCGATTTTGTTGTAATATTATAGAAATGTTGATTTATCTCTCATGTCGATCTTGAACCTGTTAATACATGAAAATGTCGACATATCGATAGATATTTAATACCATAAATAGATATTAGTGGCTCACTATTTCAAAGTCAAAAGATGTTATTATAGTAATTATTAATAATTTGATAAAAATAAAATCATATAGTCAAAGATTTATAATGAGTTACCCGAACTTGAAGCAGTT